AACTGGTCCTGAGCTCCATTGTTATCTGTACATGGTTAAAGCCTCTGAAAACCAGGTTTGGAGGGCAGGGATAGGGTCCAGAGTGACCTAGACAGATTAGAGGATTAGGTCAAAAGAAATCTGATGAGGTTCAAAAAGGACAAGTGCAGAGTCCTGCACTTGGGACAGAAGAATCACAAGCCTTGTTACAGGCTGGGGACCAACTGGCTAAGTAACTGTTTGGCAGAAAAGGAACTGGGGATTACAGTGGATGAGAAGCTGGATACGAGTTAACAGTGTGCCCTTGTAGCCAAGAAGGCAAATAGAATATTAGGGTGCATTAGGAGGAGCATTGCCAGCAGATCTAGACAAGTGATTATTCTCCTTTATTAGCAATGACAATGTAGGAAAGAAAGTAGGGGCTTATTAGCTCAACTTCTAGACAGCCCTATATACCCACCCAATTCCTGATGGTGTTTTAAATGTTCATACATTGTTATCTCCCATCTTCTCTTTCCACAGGGTCTTCTGTCAGTTTCTCTCCTCCTTTATGGTTGGGAAATCATCAGTATCACCAACTGTCTGTTCATGAGACAGGATAAGAGAAGAAAGTCTTTCATGGTTCTCCTTTCCAGAACTAAAGGTCACTGCTTTCATCCTCTCTCTTTCCTTACCTCCTGCTCTATGACTGTAAGGATGAGAAGACACTTGCCTCTGAATTCTCCACAGGAAAAATTGTCTGCTGGCACCTATGTCCCCAAAAGGCTAAAGAGGCTAAAAGAAACAAACAGGCATTACTATGAGCGTAGACCTGTAAGCTCTCTCTCCAACCACTCATGGAGTGACAGAAAGAATGGCCCATGCAACTGTACAGACTGTTTACTTGAAAAATAAAACCAGCACTGGAAACTCTAAATTTGAAAATGCCCTGACTGCTTGAACCATCACCAATCTATATAAAATATCCCATGCATAACACTAACCTGAGTCACTGGAGAAATAGTAAACAACCAAGCCTTCATAAACAGCTTAAAGAAATGGAGTAGAAAGAATATTCTAGAAGACAGAACTGGAGGAGAACAGGTGTGGCAGTTAGATGTACTTCCTCTGTACATATGGAACTAGTCTTGAACCAATATCCTTGGGAATTGTCGCTCTTGTATTATGTATCAAAGAAATGTATGACCACTTTTCCTTTTGTCTATGAATTGCTTTAGTCACTTTGTCTATTATGACACATTGCCTTTGCTGTTTGCAAGAATGATTCTTGTGACATCACTTCAAAAAGTTCTCTTAGTCTGTTGTAGGTTGCTTCCAAACCAAAGTAGAGCCCTTTGATATATTTGTACCAAAGCTCCTTTTCAATGCAATGTGAAATCTTTTTCTCCATTAGGGCTTTGATCTAATATTTATCCTATTTGCATACCATGTTCATGTTCTTAAACATCAGTAAAATATTGAAGAAGGAAAAAAGTCACTTTTTGATGGTGGAAAAAAAGAAGTCTGGAAGTGGAAGTACTTGTGTACCAAAAGAAGTTTCAGATTGTGATACAGAATATTTTCATGCATCAAGACAGCTGAAACCAAATCATAGATTTTCCCCATAACTGTACAGTCAATACACTGTATCTGTCAAAAGTGAGTATTTGCATGTTTCAATACCAAAACATCACGTTTTGATGATGGAAGAGTTGCCTTCTTGACACTGGCAACAAAGGAAAGTCGTTGTGTGATTAAGATTCTTACCTTGGTCCCAGCTAACCCCAATGCTCTCCTCAGTGCTGCACATCAAGCTCATACATTGTAAGCATCACTGTGGATTACATCAAAGGCTCACATTCTGTTTAGGGAAAGGAGACTCACATGCTTTAATGTGCTTGCTCTTGACATGAATCATTCTACAACCTTGGCAGCACTGACAGCTGACCCAAGCAAGGGTATGTAACACTCTTATACACACATTCTCCTCTCCCCACCCCGCAAAAAAGAAAGAAAGAAACTCGCTATCAGAAAGCAGAACAGGCATTGTCCGTCACTGAAAAAACTCTCAGGCATTTGAATGCTCTGAGGATTAAACAGCCTCATTACAAAAAAATCTCTATTAGTGACAAAAATACAAAGCATTTGGGGGAGGGGCTGTCTAATTTCTTTACTGAACTGTTTCTCCAAATTTTATCATACAAATTTATCTTCATTACATAAGCATAATTCTTTTAGTCTTATTAATCACTCAGATGTGTTCATTATTGTCTCAGAAATAAGAGCTACACATGTTTTTTTCCTCTCTCGTGCGTGTGGCTATGTCTAGACTGCAAGCTTCTTTCAAAATAAGCTTTTCTGGAAGAGATCTTCCTGAAAAGCTTATTTTGAAAGAGAGCATCTACACAGCAAAAGCAGAATGAAAAAGCAATGTGCTATTTCAAAAGATAGCATCCACATTGATTGGACGCTATTTCACATTTAAAGCCACCCAGAACCAGTTCAAACAGGGTATTAGATCAGCAATTGCTTCCCGATGTCATTGCCTGAGGCTATCTGAGACACTTGCTTAAAGGGACCCTCTTGGACAGCCATTTCTCTGCTTCTGCTGCATGTTTGCCTACCTCTCTGAGGGACAGCAAAGCATTTGCAGTGCATGGTCTGGTTGCCCAGCTTTTGGATGCCACAACCATAGAGCCAGAGCTGCCCCTGGGCATGGGAAGGCAGTTTCTTCAGCAGTTTGTGCAGACTGCCTTCATGGTCCTGCAAGAGCTCGACTCTGAGCTCATCATTGAGACCTTCTGCAAGGCCCTTGCAACCGCACTCTATAGTGGAGAGGAGGTTCTGGCAGCTGGACACCAGTTCCGACTGGTGGGATTGGTTGCTGATGCAGTGGCAGGATGACCAGCAGTGGCTCCACAACTTCTGCATGAGGAAGGAGACCTTCATGGAGCTGTATGCTTGGCTCGCCCCTGCCCTCTGTCAATGTGACACCCAGATGCGACACACCATCCCTGTGGAGAAGCGGGTTGCAATCGCCATCTGGAAACTCGCTATGCCAGACAGTTACCAACCCATGGGCAATCAGTTTGGTGTGGGAAAGCCCACCGTTGGGGCCCTTCTCATGGAGGTAAGGCACTCTTGGGCTGCAGTCCCGGGTGGGGTGGAAGTAATTGAAAGGAGGACCCTGGAGAAAGGGTGGGTTGTGGGTGCTCGGAGGTGGGCTGGGGGTGATAGTGGGGAAGCCCTATCTCCAGGGGATTCTGTAGTCCCACCCTTACACAGTTCTGCAGGGGGGAGGGCCTCATAGGGGGTGGCTGCTTGGGTGCTTGGGGGGGGAGAGTGAGGAAGGGGATTCGGGGACCTCCCAAGGACTCAGGCACCCCCTTTGATTTTCTGTTTTGTGTCTTTGTTTGTTTCCTTCTGCAGGTGGTGAGGGTCATAAACTCCATCCTGCTGCACAGGGTCATTCACCTGCGAGACCTGGACCCCATTGTGGCCAAATTTGCTGCCTGGGCTTCCCCAAGTGCGGGGGAGGAGTGTGCGATAAATGGAACCCACATCCCCATCCGTGCCCCAGAACATCGAGCTGCCCAATATATCAGCTAAAAGGGCTGTTTTTCTATGGTTCTGCAGGCCCTGGTTGACCACCACGGACAGTTCTCAGACCAGCTAGTCAGGGAGAGTGCACGATGCCCACGTGTTCAGAAACTCCAGCCTCTACCAGAAGATGGAGTCTGGCACATTCTTCTACCAGTGGTAGGGAAGGGGCTACACCACCCCCCAGAATGCAGTGGAGTTCATTGTAATAGGGGCAGGAATGGAGTCCTGCCCTGGAGTGAGACTTGTGCTCCCTCGCCCTGGCGTAGCCCTGCCAGAGCTCCTTGACCTTGCTCGTCACCTGCTCAAGGCTCCTGTTATGGCCCCTCATGGCCAGGCTGTCAGCCACCTGGCCATATATATTATATATTATATCCTGGAAGGTCTCCTCCTCGCCCCATACCTCCAGGCTAGGACAGTGCATGCTTTTTCCTGCCCCTGGAAAGCTCCTGGGAGCCCTGGGCATGCTCCTTGGGAGGGCCAGTGGGCTCTTGGGGAGCTTGTGACTGGGGCATGGGTGCCTGCAACTCTGGAACTGGCAGCCATGCAGTGAGTTGCATCTCCCAAGGCCAGCTTCCTGCCACAAGCCTCGTCCCAGGTATCTGTGGCTTTAATTGCTGCTGCCTGGAGACAGGAACTATAGAGTTGTGATGAGTGTGGATGGAGTGGCCAGCAGGGCCCCTGTGTTATTTCCTGGAGGCCTCTTTTTATGAAATAACTCCTTCCTCTGCATCCATGCACACCTTTTTCAGAAAAAGTTTTATTCCTCAAAGAAAGAGGTTTACCACTGTCAGAAAAAGCCCTCCATTATTTCAACTTTTTTGTCAAAATAACGTAATTGCAGTGTGGATGCAAGTATTGTTTTTTTGAAATAATAGCTGTTATTCTGGAAAAACGCTGCACTGTAGAGGTACCCTATGTGTGCATGTATATAGACACATACGTACACTTTTTGCAAGTCTAACAACACTTGTATAATTCAGACAACAAAAACAAGGACAGGGATGGTGAGTTTTAAATAGAACTAATATTCCACAATTTACGCACTTAAAACTTATGAGTAAAAAAATTAAAATAAAATCTGACTTCATCTCACTCCTTCACTAAATATCCAATGTGCCTCTCCTGCAAGTAGGTGAGCATGGCCTGGCAAATCGTTTATTATGCCATTAACCAATTGTGTTCTTCCAGCTCTTCATCCCTGCCATGTCTTTGCCTCAGCTACAGTGGTTCAGTTGAGTACAACCATAGACAGCTGTGGGACCTAGCACACTAATCCTCCAATATAGTGAAGGGTGGAATCACTAACATTCTCTGTCCTAAAAATAACCTTTTTTTCTTCATGAAAGGACTAATCCTGTAAAACTCTCTCAATTGACAGTGAAACCAAAGAGACTTAGAAAAATTATCACCTTCTAGGATCAGGCCCCAGGTGGCTCCTTAAACCAGTGTAGTTAATCCCAACCAGGCAACAAACTGTGAATATCTTAATTCAAAATCTCATTTCTATAAACTAATCTCTAGTTTCGTAGGCAGAATGCTAATACAGTACCATGTACAT